TGACCGTGATCCGGTGGACAAATAGGCTCTTATTAAAATGATAACCAGTGATAATGTTTTGCTTCTACTGGAAGTGGGAGAGGTTGAAGACATCGAAAAAACATTGCACGAACTTCATTAATAAAGGATTAAATTGCCAGATCCTCGGGACAGAATATTCCTGATTTGTCATTAATCACACGGAGAGAAAAATTCAATAAAAATTACAAAAATAATGAAAAATAAAAAACCAGAAAAACCATAAAAAAAAGAGATTTACCCGAAAACTTCATTAACACTGGAATAATTCCCAAGAATTTCCCTACTATGTTAGCATTCTCAAAAATTTCCAGTTTTTCTACTTAAAATTTCAAATATAATTTTCCATCAAATTTTTGTTTAATTGACAAAACGCAATAAAACATTTATTTTCCGTCAAGTTATTGGGATTCAAATTTTCAAATTATTAAAAAAGAAAAAAACGTTCAAAGAAAAAAGAAATCAATTTTTTTTAAGTGCCGAAGAAGCGATTGCGATTTTTAGATGAAAAAAAATTGAAAAAGAAAAAGGAAAAAAATTGCAGTTCACGGGGTAATTGATGGGTAATTTTCGGTGATTATTTCTTTCCGTGGATTTTGTGGTGATTGGACAAGCCTACTGGTCTGACCTGCCGACCAGATATCTCGGGGAACGCGAGAATCGTGCTGCCCTGAAGGATGGTAGCCAACCGAGGCGTGCCAGAGCCCCGATATGTCTCTTACTTGGTTGATAAGGCCCGTGATAACCCACTGGCACTGTATAATCGTCCTGCCAATCGTCCCAGCCACCTGCTCCTAACATCCATTTTTTTTTAAACAATTTTCCGTTGCCCATTACTCCATCAATCAATCATCTCCCTCAATTTTAACTTTATCATCGCATTAACCGGAATAACATGATTAATCAGTCATTATCTCGAGAACTACCGCCTCCCGGAGAAAGTACCAAAGGAACTTTTTGGAGTTTGAGAAATCCTCTACAAAATTGGTTTTCTAACATTTTCTCGTAAAATAAGTCGTTGTCAAGATAATTGCGATTCAATTGTAGACAAGTGAAGTCAGTTTTCAGTGTAAGGTTTAGAGGTCGGGGGTGGAAATTACTCCGGTAGTAAGGGGTTTTAGAAAAAAAGTGCAAAAGAATTTTTTGTAGCTTAGAAATTTTCACGACTAATTGGTTATTGAGATTTTTTTCTGAAATCACTCATTGTCGAAATAAATCGGATAATTGAGGGATTTTAAAAGTAGTTCATGCTTTGGGAAGTTTATTCATTGATTTTTCTCCTTAATTATTCATTTCGGACGATTATTTACCGTTCTTCCCCTGCAAAAAGTCCTCTGACCTCTCTCTCTCTCTCTAATATTATTTCATAATAATAATAATCATCGTAATAAAATTATCCAAAGAAATAAATCACAAAAAAACTAATTTAGTGATCCATTTTGAACAATTTTTTCCTTTTTTAAGTTTTAAAAAATTGAATAGAATAATTTGTTGTCTTCCCCGAGTTTTATGAAAAATTCAATTTAACACCTCAATTCCGTCTCTTAAACTTCAATTCTCAAATAAATCCTAGAGTTCGCAAGTTCCTGTAGAAAAATCGTAATCGTAATTCAGTCGTAATCAATTCACGAAGATTCAACGAGTGATTGTAAAAAAAAAGAGAAAAATGGAAAATAGTATTTGCAAGAGACTCACCCATGAATCTCTTAGCAGCCTGGGGGAAGCCGTTGGCAATGGCCTCGATGATGTCCTCGTAATCGATAACATTAGAATTCTGCATAACAGGAAGTGGATATTCATCAGAGTAATCAGCCTGCCTCTTAGTCCTGGCCTTGACATCATCAAGCTGTCGTTCAAATGAGTTGGATCGATTGTCCTCTTCATTTTCATCGGGTGATCTGCCGTGCCTGGTCTGGGGAAGGCTCCAGTCCCTGGCCAATGTCCCCACGTTCCTCTTTGGAAAAGGGAAATCTCCATTTTTAGCTAGACTAGCTATTCCCCGTTTGCCATAAGGAGGAAGCGCAGAGTCCCTGGCCAAGGAACCGACGTTCCTTTTTCCGGTGGCGACGGGGATGACGAACAGCCTGCCAAGGGTGTAAGAAGGTCGCCTCTTTCCGGAGGGCAATTGTCTGTCACGGGCGAGAGTTCCAACGTTCCTCTTGCCAGTTGGAAGACCAAATTCTCGAGCCATCGACGCTATATTCCGACGTCCAGGAAGCGCTGATTCACGAGCAAGTGCTGCCAGATTCCTCTTACCCCAGTGACTGAAGAAATCCTCCGACTCCGTGTCCAGAGCACTCGGTATACCGTATGACATCATCTCCGTTGGCTTCTCCTCCGAGGACTCCCCACCGTACAGCTTCAACAGCTCTTCTGGTGTCATACTGTGGATGTACGTTATTATCTCAGTTATTAATGGATTTAGAAGAAACTTTATGGGAACTTTTTTATTGGCGGGAAAATTTCCCATAGAAAATTTCTTATCACTTTTTCTTCTCAAATCACTCTTTATCGAGATAATTCACAAAAAAAAAACATTTTTCATTGTGTCGAGGTATATCCGTGGCGAGGAGGATAATTAGAAACTATTAATTATCTCGATAATGAGTAGCTTTAGGGCGATTTGTGAAAAATACTTTTTTTTAGCGAACGAAATTTCCTATAAACATTACTTATGATATTTTCTTCTAAAACCTCTGCTCTTCCCGATAAATCCGAATTGAGTGACGAGTCCGTTATTTTTGTATAGGTTTGGAGTAGTTTTGGGAATCGCGGGGGTGAAATTTAATTACCGGAAGATAATCGAGTCAATGGGGGCGGTAAGTGCCCCTTTCACGGACGTAATTCTTCAGAGCCTCGGAAAATTGAATATTTTCCGTGAGAGGGGAATGTCAAGGTTGAATGGTAAAACGAGAGGATGAAAAAAAAAATCATTATTCAATTCAATAATCAGTCGACTGACCATTAAATTGTCAAATCGTTAATCAATAATCAACTAATTAGACCTAATTACCTCGCCTCACTGCGTTTTTCGTCGTCTTCCTGGCCGTCCTGGGCCCTCTCCTGGATGGAAACAGGCAGATCTCCATTTTTGGCGAGTGTCGCGAGACTCCTCTTCTGGGAATCGAAAATCCCGGACTCGTCGATCCTCTCTGGCTCCACCATCATCTTTTGGACTCTCTCAATGGCATTAAGATGTGCCCGCATAGTCGGATCATTGAATATCTCGTAGTAGACGTACGCGGGGAGGCAGATCCTCCCGTCGTCGCCTTCCTCGCGACTGGTGGTACTCAGGCCCTTGAGATGGACAAAATCGTTTCTCGCGTCTTGAATTATCCGCGCGGTTCGTGAATACGCGGCAAGATTCGAACTCACTTCCGGTAGACGAAGAAATGCGTAAAACGTCTTCCGGGGGAGGCACCGGGTCGACACCTCGTCCTCTTGGCATGTCACCTTTTAGGATATTTGGAAATTCATTTGTCAATTAATGTCTTCTGAATCATTACAATAATCAATAATATATTAACATACATTAATTCATTCATTGAATGATAATTTAATAATAATCAAGTGAATAATTATTAATTACTAAATCAATTAATTTAGATATTAATGGAGAATATATCCTCAGGCACGTCACCTTTTTGCAATGTTTTTTAACATGTAATTGGTGAGAAATTACTAATTAGACAATTTGTTGATTAACATCAGGAGAAATGTGGGAATTAATTTATGTTTTATTCAAGCCGGCAGGGATAATTAATTAATTA